TTACAGTGCAGGGTACCACGTTTTGCAGTGCCTAAAAAAAGTAAACAGAAAGCACGAAACAAAACCGAATCAGCTGTGCGGTAGCATCAGTAGCCGCCAAAGTGTTTTCGTAACGCCGCTCGCCTGGCCTGCTCCTCGGAGGGAAGGGGGGGAGGGGGGTAATATGTAAGTCCGAAGAGGCGGTTTCTCGCTGTCCCCCAGCGGGGGGGTCTTGCCGATCGAGGGGGCGGCGCAGGGAGAGGGGGGGGGGAAGCTTCCCATCTGAGCGACTGCCCGGGTTTGATTTGCCTGACTTTGCCGTTGCGTCCGCGGCGTCCGCGGCGAGACCCGAAGCCGCTAGTTTCAGACGATTTATCAGTGTGGGTCCCACACACGCGGGGCCGCCCCAGGTTTTCCTTCATCTCCTACGCAGCCGTCAGGCCGGCGACCGGCACACTGGGAGTCGTCGCTCTGTCTCGCGCTCTACGGGCGCCCCGCACAGGTGCGAGAGAGACAGAGCGACGAGTCCACACCACGCCACTGTGACACTGGCCCGTCATTAAGTGTCCCCGGGATTAATGCAGCCATTCACATTCGACTCATTATCGACAGTTCCTTTTTTTCGCGCGTTTTTTTTACTTTTTCGCGCGGGCGGCCGGGCCGTTGCCTTCCTCTATTTCGGCTCCTTTTCGGACCGTTTTTCTCGTTTTCGTTTGTCGAGTTCGCTTGTCTGTCTCTGCTCTGTGGGCGTGACTCTATCCTAAGGACTTTACGCGCTGGAATCAATAGGCGCGAGGGCGTGACACTGTTTAGCCGATGCAAATAAAGGATTGGCTCCAATTCTCCTCCTCTGTCTGTCTGTCTGTCTGTCTGTCTGTCTGTCTGTTTGCCCGTCTGTCTATCCGTTCGTCTGTGAGGTCTCCCACCTAACCCACGCTAGAGCCAGTCAGGTCAGGGCGGGTCGCTTGCAATCAGAGTTCGCTTCATCGTCGGTGCGGCGCGGCTGGCCCGCGACTTTTGGTGTCCTTTTCGCGCGAAATTGATAAGCAAAAGAACGTCTGAATCGCACTTTTCTTGCTTTCCTTTTCCTTCCTGATGTGTAGGGAATGTGTGAGGCGGCCCGGCGGCGGCCTCTAGCCGCGCTGCCGTACGTATCGAACTTCTAACCGTACTACAGGCACGGCAGGCTCGGGAGGCCCGGCCCAGAAGAGGGGGGGAAGACGCCTGCATTCCGCCGTGCGCCCATGGGCGTTTCTTCGCCCCCCTCCCTCCCCCTCTCTCACCTTGCCCCAGGCCCCGGTGGCCCCGGTGGCCGGCCGGTCCACGCCGCGTCTGTGGGGGCTCTGGGGGGCTCGCAGCAATGCGGCAATGCCGGCCCCTCCCGCGGGCACATTTCTCTAAGTGTTAAAATGGAAATGTAACGCCTCCCCCAAAATTTGAACTCTTTTGGGTTTTGTACTGACGCTCGTCAGCTAGTGCTCACAGTGGGCCAGAAGACCGGTTGAGGCGGCCTAAAGTCTAGACGGATTTTGAGCTCCAGAGTCGCTAAAATGGGCTCGAACCGAACGTGTGACCCAACCAATGGATTCCTCGTTCGGAGAGCAAGCCATTGGTGGGGTTATACGTTCGGTTCAAGTCCCGTTTAGCGACTCTAGAGCTCAAAACGCGTCCGGGATTTCGGCCGCCTCCGCCGGTCTTCTGGCCCACTGTGCGCTCGGCGCTCGCACGGTCCGTGCCGGCTTTCCGTTCCCGTGGAAATGGCGGCAGCGCGTTCCAAATTGCCGCTGCCCCGAAAAGGACGGAACGGCACTCTGGAAGGACCAAGGACCCGGCAAGTTTGTTATTATTATCATTATTTAAGCCGGGCGGGCGTAGCCTCGCCTCGCCTCGCCTTGCCCTGGCGGGGCCTGGCGGGGCCCCGTCCTGTAATGTATGCAAAATACGAGCCTCTCGTCCCTCCGGCCGGCCGGCCGTCCACTCGAAGGTAGGTCCACTGGAGCGTAGCCCTGGAGTCCAGCAGGAGGACTAGCCTGGACACACAGTGGGCCAGAAGACCGGCGCAGGTGCGGTCAAAATCCCGGACGTGTTTTGTGCTCCAGAGTCACTAAATGGGACTCGAACCGAACGTGTGACCCCACCAATGGATTGCTCTCCGAACGAGGAATCCATTGGTGGGGTCACCCGCTCGGTTCGAGTCCCATTTATCGACTCGGGAGCTCAAAACGCGTCTAGAGTTTTGGCCGCCTCCACCGGTCTTCTGGTCCACTGTGGGACGCTCGGCAGGGCACCGGAATGAAATGAGAGGGAAGAAGACGAGGAAGAAGACAAGGCTTGAAATGTTGGTCAAGCCGACGAGCCCTTTTGGGCAGCCAGTGTACGTACGCCACCGCGATTTAACGCCCTATTCCCGGGCCCTTTCTGCTGTCACTAGCAGTGCAGGCCCCTTTGAGGGCCCCACTGAGGGCCCCACTGAGGGGCCCCACGGGCTGTGAAATAGTTCATTGTCCCGGTGACAGCCCCGCGCTCACCGAATACCAGATGAGCACTGCTCCAGAACCGGATAGGGATTGAGGTTTGGGCACGATTCGGGCAGACGCTCAGACAGACAGACAGACAGACAGACAGACGGGCGGAAGCGACCACGCTGCTACCGTGCGGGCTGCGCGGGCTGCCCGAATAGTCATACAGTGACTCGCACAGCAATTACCCGCTAATGAAATGCACGGCGCAGGGCGAGCGGGGCGGCAGGATGAAATTTGTGAGAACGCTGAGGGAGCCACGACGGCGAGGGTCTTCTTGGCGGCGGCACCGCGGCCCGAAGGCTGCCCAGCTGTCGCCGTGGTGGTGCAGGAGGTGCACCGAGGCGGCCGAGGCGGCTTTGTTCTGGAAAGTGTCTCGTCACCCCGGGAGGCTGATTCCGAAGACTGCCTCTCTCTCGCACCCGAAGGGCGAGCCGCAGGGCTGCGAGAGATAGACAGAGCGACGAAACCAGTAGTCTTTTGGATCAGCCCTCGGCTCTGGGCTTGTCTCATTCCCCCCTGCTGGAACAGATTTTTGTCTTGCATCCATAACTTTAGTGCTCCTGCCTGATATGCCCCCGAACCCCCTGCTAAAACCTGGCTCCAAACTCTCAGGAATTGAACAATTTCTCCCATTTCAGGCCTGAAAAGGCCTGCTTGCTCTCTGCTCCGACGAAAACTTTCATATTGAAATGCGTCCTGGTGCATTTTCACTGTGGTTCCCCTGGACTTTGTGGAGATAAAGACAAAAGTCCGCCAGCGTATTATTCCATTACTCTTGCTCGTTGTGCCTGCGCCCCTTCCCCTTCCCCAATTTGAGGTTCGTGCCTAGTCACAGCGGCCCAATCCCGGAATGCGTGACGAGCGATCGCTCAATTTCGTTGGAGGGGGGGAGGCTACCAACAGAAATCCAAGCAAGATGGAAATAATTACCTGGGGTCCAAGCCACACAGTGCCACACGGCTGCATTGGGACAAACAATTCGTTATCGATTCGACGCACTTCCGCACCCTCTATAATCACATCTCTAGACGGACGGGCAGACAGACAGACAGACGGACGGGCGGGCGGCTGGCGCACAGTGGGCTAGAAGACCGGTGGAGGCGGCAAAAAACTCCAGACGCGTTTTGAGCTCCAGAATCGCTAAATGAGACTCGGACCGAGCGTGTGACCCCATCAACGGGTTGTTCTTCGAACGAGGAATCCATTGGTGGGGTCACACGTTCGGCTTGAGTCCTGCTTAGCGACTCTGGAGCTCAAAACGCGTCTAGACTCTTAGCCGCCTCTACCGGTCTGCTGGCCCACTGTGCGGCGGACCGCTGTGGATCTCGCGGTGTATTTCACCACTCGGTGCCTGCCTGCACTGCGTGCGCCGCGTGCAGTAAGCCACATTCCTGCAGCGAACGAGCTGTAGGCAATTTGAGCACTCGGATTGCCCGGCGCGGCAATAATTTAATTGTCAACAGTGTACCGGCGCTGTACCAACAGTGTACCGTACAGCCGCGCCACGACGGGGCCCGCGGTCCGGCCGAGCCGAGAGAGGGAAAAGGGGGGGGGGGGGATTCGGAGCCGGGCCGGTGCCCCCGCCCCCTTTCCGGAGCCCAGCGAACCGCACACATTTTGAACATTCTTAACTCGAGTGCGAGAACGTGTTGCGTCCACACTTTCGTTTGCCGATCCGCTGGAGCGCTGGAGTCCTGGAGTCGCTGGAGGATGGCGAGGCGCTAACGCGCCCACCGGACCGATTCTCGCTCTGTCTCCCTCGCACTCACGGGGCGCCCCGTAAGGGTGCGAGAGAGACAGAGCAAGTCGCTCGGCAAGCCGCGGGGCCCGCCAAGCTCGCCGTTTTCACGGCCAGTTTGTGCCGTGGGTCGCGCTTGGCTGCGGCGACTCTGTCTCTCTCGCACCCCTGCGGCCCTGCGAGGCGCCCCCTGAGTGCGACGGAGACAGAGCGACGCCGCTGTTCGGAATCGGCCCGCTAATTGTGGCAAACGCCTCTATTGTATACGACTACGACACGGAGACGGAGGCCGCAAGGCACCGCAAGGCCGCGCCGAGCTTGTTTGAGAGAAAAATTACTAGTGGATTAGCCTCCGCACTGTTAAAAGACCGTCGAGTCGAATCGACGAGGTTCTAGAATTTCGTTTTAGGGTGCCCAGCTACTCCAATCTGTGTGTTACCATCACGGTTGTGGTGTGGGTGCCTCGTAATCAAAAGTAGAGGAATAGCTGCTGGATAGCCATCAGTAATAGTTGCCTTCCAACAAATTGGATCTCGTGTTATCGGCCGCCAAAACATCGTTTTCAAATTGGAATTTCGAGTGCAATTCTACCGATCGTTGTCCTTTCCAGTGTTTAACCGCTCTGTGTTTCTGTTGCAGCAGGATGCCAGTGCGGTAGCGACGCCTCGGCGCGCCGGTGGCGCCGAGCAAGCCCCTTCGCCATGAAGAGGCTGCTGGCGCTCGGCGTCGTCCCACTGCTCGTCGTCGGCGTCCTCGGCGTCCTCGGCGTCGGCGCGGAGCATGTCCGCGACCTGGAGGTGTCGGAGGGCGCGCCCGTCGGCACGCGCGTCGGCTACATCGGCGACGGCGGCGACGTGGCGGGGCCGCCGTACCTGGTGGTGCCCGTGCCGGGCAGCCCCGTCGACGCCGACCTGGCCATCGACCAGTCGACGGGCGAGATCCGCACGCGCGTGCGCCTGGACCGCGAGACGCGCGCGTCGTACTCGCTGGTGGCCATCCCCAACAGCGGCGAGAACGTGCGCGTGGTGGTGCGCGTCCGTGACGAGAACGACAACGCCCCCACCTTCCCCACGCCCGTCATGAACATCGAGTTCCCGGAGAACACCCCCCGGGACGTGAAGCGCACGCTGCAGCCCGCCAAGGACCCCGACCTGGGCGCCTTCTCCACGCAGAAGTACTCCATCGTGTCCGGCAACGTCAACAACGCCTTCAAGCTGAGCTCGCACGAGGAGCGCGACGGCGTGCTGTACCTGGACCTGCAGATCCACGGCATCCTGGACCGCGAGACTACCGCCTTCTACAGCCTGCTCATCGAGGCGGTGGACGGCGGCAGCCCGCCGCTTCGCGGCACCATGACGGTCAACATCACCATCCTGGACGTGAACGACAACCAGCCGCTGTTCAACCAGAGCCGCTACTTCGCGACGGTGCCCGAGAACGCCACGGTGGGCACGGGCGTGCTGCAGGTGTTCGCGACAGACGCGGACGCGGGCGTCAACGGCCAGGTGGAGTACTCCATCAACCGGCGGCAGTCGGACAAGGGCGCCATGTTCCGCATCGACGCTGCCACGGGGCAGATCGCTGTCAACCGGCCGCTCGACTTCGAGACCAAGCAGGTCCACGAGCTGGTGGTGGTGGCCAGGGACCACGGGCTGCAGCCCCTGGAGACCACGGCCTTCGTGTCCATCAGCGTGATCGACGTCAACGACAACCAGCCCACCATCAACCTCATCTTCCTGAGCGACGACGCCACCCCTAAGATCTCCGAGTCCGCGCAGCCGGGCGAGTTCGTGGCGCGCATCTCGGTGCACGACCCGGACAGCAAGTCGGAGTACTCGCCGACGGAGCACGTGAACGTCACCCTGGAGGGCGGCGACGGCTGCTTCGGCCTCGCCAACCGCGACAACATCATCTACCTGGTGATCGTGGCTCTGCCGCTGGACCGCGAGGCGCGCCCCAACTACACCCTGAGCGTGGTGGCCTCGGACGGCGGCACGCCGCCCCTGCACGCCTCCAGGACCTTCCACCTGCGCGTCACCGACGTCAACGACAACGCGCCCGAGTTCACGCAGCCGGAGTACGCCGCCAGCGTGCTGGAGGTGGCCGAGCCGGGCACATCCGTGGCGCGCGTCCACGCCACCGATCGCGACGAGGGCGTCAATGCCGAGGTCACCTACTCGCTGGCGGAGACCCCCGACTCGCACTCGGGCTGGTTCCAGGTGGACGCCGTCTCGGGCGTGGTCAGCCTGCGCGCGCACGTGGACTGCGAGACAGACCCGCAGCCCAAGCTGCTCGTCGTGGCCACGGACCGCGGCGAGCCGCCCTTGTCCTCCACCGCCACGGTGGTCGTCACCATCCACGACGTCAACGACAACGAGCCCATCTTCGACCAGAGCTTCTACAACGTGACCGTCGCCGAGAACGAGGCCCGCGGCTGCTCCATCCTCAAGGTTAGTCGCCACACCAGGATGTGGAGCCATCTCCATCGAAAATGTTAGAAGTGTTGACCCCTTTCTGGGGGAGGCGCGGCGCGGCTAGGCGCGTTAAAAAATGAAGTGCTGTGCCGCCACGGCGGCGGCGAAAGACCGCCAAGACTGCGAGAGGATGTGCAGTGGGCGCAAAAAACGCGACGGAGGATATGAAATTACTCAGTTTACGCTCAGGCCGGCCATTCTAATGAGAAGCGAAGCAGTAAAAGTCGGCGAGTCGGACCCAACAGAAAACCGCGAAAGCTTTTCCGCCTGCCACGCAGTGATGCGCGCTGAATTTCGATTTCCAGGCGTCGAGGAGGGGGAGGCACAGTGGGCCAGAAGACCGGTGGAGGCGGCCAAAATTCTAGACGCGTTTTGAGCTCCAGAGTCGCTAAACAGGACTCCAACCGAACGTGTGACCCTACCAATGGATTCCTCTTTCGCAGAGCAATCCATTGATAGGGTCACACGTTCGGCTCGAGTCCCACTTAGTAGCGACTCTGGAGCTCAAAATGCGGCTAGAATTTTGGCCGCCTCCACCGGTCTTCTGGCCCACTGTGGGAGGGGGAAGGCCCGCGTGTCTCGGTGCCGTCGCACCCACCCGCTAGGTACCAATTGGGCACCGGCTAAGTACCCATCAGCACTCGCACCCTACCGGGCACCCGGTACCCCAGGGCTGACAGGCAGACGGGCAGGCAGACAGACGGACAGAAGACGGACGGACGGACGGAGAGACTGACGGTTGTTTGTCAGACTTACTTACTGACAGTGCGGGGCCGCGCGTACCTGGGGCGAAATTCCAGATTTCGGGTGTGTGCGTGCGTCGGGTGCACACGTGAAAAAGTCGATTCGGAAATGGAAGTTGCATCCAATGGTTTCGGGAAGCGCTTGAAATTTCGATCAGGGCGGCCAATTTGGGGGAACCTCCCTGGAGACCACGGTTTGTGTCAAAAGCAGGCACGAATTGGATTGAAATTTGATTATTTCGATGAGGTGTGCTTTGTACACGGAAAGCACAGCGCATGCGGTGCAGGCTAGGCCTGGTGGAGGCCAGTGCCTCATGACGGTCTTGGGCTGCGCGGCGACGCGGTCCCCGAGTGCATTGTTGCATGCCTGCATCGCCTGGCGCTGCGCTGCGCTGGGCTGCGCTGGGTCCCCGCCGCAGGCCGATTCCGTCGCTCTGTCTCTCTCGCACCCCGAAGGGACGGGCGGGGCTGGCCGCGAGTGCGAGGGAGACGGAGCGACGAGAGTCTGAGCCACTGGATTACTTCTTGTGCCGCTGCTGCACCGCGCGCCGCACCGCGCTGCCGCTTGCGCCCTGGCAGGCTGGCACTGCCTCGCCACTGCCCTGGCCGGGTCGATGGCCGGGCTGGCTGTCCAGGCCGTCCAGGCCGTCCCAGCAAGGCGAGGCGACTCCCCGGCGGGGCGGGGCGGGGCGGCAGCCGGCGGCAGTCCAAACCCAAACCGTCAAGGCACCGGCTTGCCGCGCCGGGCCGTGGGCCTGCACGCCCTGCACGTCAACCAAATGCATGCGCCTTTCTTCGCCGTCTTCGCCGTCTTCGCCGCACCGACGACTCACGGGGTTATTATTATTAAATCGGACCGGTATTCGAACCCCGGACCCCGCCACGTCCCCGCACCAAATGCCACGGAACGCCGTGGAACGCCGTGGAACTGACGAACCAGCGGCCTGGACCGCCTTTCGGCCGCTTCCAGAACGGCATTACTTCGGACGCACAGTGGGCTAGAAGACCGGTGGAGGCGGCCAAAACTCTAGACGCTTTTTGAGCATCAGAGTTACTAAATGAGACTCGAACGGAACGTGTGGCCCCACCAATGGATTCCTCGTTCGGAGAGCAATCCATTGGTGGGGTCACACGTGCGATTCGAGTTCCGTTGAGCGACTCTGGAGCTCAAAACGCGTCTGGAGTTTTGGCCGCGCCTCCGCCGGTCCTCTGGCCCACTGTACGACGTGCTGAATGTTTCAGTCACAACTGTGATAGGACGGACTGTCTGTGACTGGGCCGTCTGTGACGAGGCCGACGAGGCTAGGCGGCATGTCAACGTCCAGGTGGCGGAGCCCCGTCACCCGTTGGCGGTGAAAGGAGTGGGGTGGCGTCGCCGCTATTCGCCTTTATGGCCCACGTCGTCTGCACCACATACACACTCACGCACACACACGCACACACGCACACACTCACACGCACACACTCACGCACACACGCGCACACACAGGCTTCGCCGCGCACATTCCCCGTCTAGCAGGTGGGCTTACACATTTTCTCAATCAACGCGCTCGGCGTTGAATTTGATTCAGGGAGTGAGTCACGAATGCGGGTAGCCCGCCCCGCTACGTCGCGCCGCGCCACGCCACGCCACGCCACGCCACGCCGTGCCACGCCCGGAGCGACCCGGAGTCCGTCTTGATGCGGCCCACATCTCACCGGCAGAAAACAACAAAAACATGAGCCAGCCAAACATAAGGTTGGAGTTTGACGTGGCTCGCGCATGGAGGAGTACGGCCTGGCCCGGCCTTCGCAAGCAATACATAGGCGCACTGTCCGTCTTGCGGCTCCACCACTGAAAAATTGGTCGTCGCTTTATGAAGGATCTATGAAAAATGGAGTGGCCACTTCAGATTTTGCCAGTGGCCTAGCAGCCGCGTCGCGTACGTACTTGCAGCGTAGCGTCACTCTGTCGGCCGCGCGCTGCCAGCAGTGCCAAGCCGTTGCACAAGACTCGCCCCGACGGTTAAGGCTCAGTGAGCGAGAAACATGGGGCAGGTTTGCGAGGGCCCCGGCAGGCCCCGGCAAGGCCCCGGCAGGCAGGCAGGCCCCCTGATGAACCGAAATGATTTATTTGTCGCGAGATTTCTCGTCCCTTTGACATGTCGAGTGTCGAAACGGGGCGAGCGCGTGCACTGTCAATGCTTGTCTGTGGGCCGCGACACACTTGGGGTTAGGTCAGGCGACAAAGACACAGTGGGCCAGAAGACCGGCGGGGGCGGTCAAAATCCCGGGCGCGTTTTGAGGCTAAGAGTCGCTAAATGGGACTCGAACCGGACGTGTGACCCCACCGATGGATTGCTCTCCGAGCGAGGAATCCATTGGTCACACGTTCGGTTCGAGTGCCATTTAGCGACTCTGGAGCTCAAAGCGCCGTCCGGAGTTTTGGCCCACTGTGCGCGTACTTCAGGCGACCTTTTGCAACTCGCGGCCCGTTTGTGGCAGAACGGTGAGAGATTTGGCGCGGCGTAAGGCGAGCCGCGCGGTCCGGTCGGGTCAGTGGAGCTGCAGTGGAGCTGCAGTGGAGCTGCAGTGGAGCTGCAGTGGAGCTGCAGTGGAGCTGCAGTGGAGCTGCAGTGGAGCTGCAGTGGAGCTGCAGTGGAGCTGCAGTGGAGCTGCAGTGGAGCTGCAGTGGAGCTGCAGTGGAGCTGCAGTGGAGCTGCAGTGGAGCTGCAGTGGAGCTGCAGTGGAGCTGCAGTGGAGCTGCAGTGGAGCTGCAGTGGAGCTGCAGTGGAGCTGCAGTGGAGTGAGGCGGCGCGCGGAGCACCGCGGAGCACGGAGCGCCGTACGCAACAGGCGCCACGGCGCGCCAGCAGCTGGACTAGTACACTGCCAGGCCGCGAGACGTGCTTACAGTGCAACGCCACCCATTTCTGACTTGGAAAGTCGGTTTTCATAAACTAGCAAAAGGGCGTCCGCGGTTGCGGTCGCCCGCTTATTTGGAACATCTTACCGGTGTTGTTTTTCATTTTGGGGAACGTTTGTCCGGAGGGCTTTTGCACAACGACAGGTGTGGCACGATTGCCCAACCGTTTAATGTTTGTTAAAATACCCGCCACGCCTCGGCGGGGAGGAGGTCTCTCTCTCTCTCTCTCTCTCTCTCTCTCTCTCTCTCTCTCTCTCTCTCTCTCTCTCCCCCCCTCTCTCTCTCTCTCTCTCTCTCTGACACGCGTTGATTGATTACACCGCACGCCCCTCCACACGCGGATGACACTGTGTTTCTAGAACACGCCGGCGAGCCTCTAGGATTTATTGAACCGAAACAAAACGACGAAAACGCCCAGGGGTGGGTGACGAGACGAGCTCCAGGGTTCAAAAAAGAGTTTAATAGGGGGAGAGGAGAGAGAGAGAGAGAGAGAGAGAGAGAGAGAGAGAGAGAGAGAGAGAGAGAGAGAGAGAGAGAGAGAGCTTCGGCGCTCGTCCCATTCAGATGTGTGTCCGCGGAAACCGCGAGCGCAGCGCGTTGATTTCGTCGAGTCGGTTTTGGCTCAGCGTACTACTGGCGGGGTGGGGCGGGGCGGGGCGGGGCGGGGCGGGGCGGGGCGGGGCGGGGTTGCGGTGCACCGCAGACCCAGGCGCGAGGTGGCGTCCCATCATGGCGCCGTCTCGAGACTTGAAAGTCATTCCCATTACGGCGAATCTCACGGCGAGGCGGCGCCTGCCTGCCTTCCTCCGTCACCCTCTGCCCCCTGATCGACTTCCGGCCGCGAGGGTTTCAGTATTTGACCCCAGTTGGAGCGCCGGGGCGCCTGGTTTGTCTGTTGGGTCTTTTTAAGTCTGTTTGTCTGTTTGGACGTCAGTCTGTGCCTGTCTGTCTGCCTGTCTTTCTGTCTGTCTGTCTTTCTGTCTGTCTTTCTGTCTGTCTTTCTGTCTAGTCTGTCTGTCTGTCGGTTTGTTTCCAGCTTCCGACACGGAAGAATGCCGGTGCATCGCACTTGTCAAACAGACTCGGCGGGGATGTTTTCGTCCTGCAATTGACGCCGTACTCTTTGGTCGGCTCTTCCCCGGGCGTTTGCTTTTGCCGCTGACCCGTCCGCCCTGCCCGGCCCCGCCCGGCCCTGCCGATCGCTGTGCACTTTTACTACCGCGAAGCAAAGTGCTGGAGAAAGTGCTGCCCTGTGGCGTCGCGTCAGCAAAGCGTCAGCACACTGCAGTGACATGCATCTGTGATGATGATGATTCGGGCATTGTTTA